ACAGCACAAGAGGAGTTCATTGAACTCATTAACAGCGATGCAGTGAGAACTGATTTCTCTACAATGCCAGTTACAAAATCCTGGATCAAGTGTTTGCAGTCATCTCCTGTTCTGTCTGAGACCGTGTTGCACCTTCTTCTTCCATTTCCAACCACATATCTTTGTGAACCAGGGTTTTCCAGCTTGTTGGTTATCAAGTCTAAATACAGAAGTAGACTTGCTGTGGAAGATTAGAATTCAAAATTGTAGCAAAGAACAATTCAATTTGTAAAAAGCTCGTTACCACTGAGTTGACTCAGACTCATCGGGACCCTAAAAGCAGACGAGAACTGTCTCACAGAGGTTTCCTTGACTGTAAATCGTTATTAAAGTAGTACAGAGTTTTCTTTGTCCCTGGGGATCCACTGGTGGTCAGGAGAGTCACGTGGTTAACAGTTCAAGTTGTAAGCCACTAGCCCACCAGGGGTTCTCAGGAAAGACCAATAGCTCAAAAACAAGGAGAAAAGAACAATAGTACTCTATTATTTTTCAACTGGTAGAGGAATTTAATTTTGTCAGCAGACATCCCTGAATAGATCTTAGGAACAAAAAGAGGAAACTAAAGAAACTATTGGAATAAAATTTTTTTGTTTGTTTGTTTGCTTTTGATCTTTCATCTTAATTTTATTTCTTAATTTTTGGGAGGGGTTAAGTTATTGGAAGCACAGATCGAGAAGACATACAAAACAGCGTTGAGCATATGCTCACTCGGTTTATAGAAACTATCATTTTAGTCACGTGTTATTAGCTTCTTGTTGTTGTGGGGTGGCTTCAAATTGGTTCTGAATCCTAGCGACCCCATGCACAACAGAACGAGACACTGCCCAGTCCTTCGCCAGTGTCACAGTTGTTCTCGGGCTTGAGCCCATGGTTGGCAGCCACGGAGTCAATCCATCTGATAGGTCTTCCTCTTGTTCAGTGCCCTGCTGCTTTACCAAGAATGCAATGCTCCTTTTCAGGGACTGGTCTCTCCTGAGAACATGTTTAAAATGCATGAGACAAAGTCGTGCCCTCCTTGCCTCTAAGGAGCATTCTAGCTATACTTCTTCTGAGACAGACCTGTTTGTTCTTTCACCATGGAATAAATGTTTTAATGTCAGGATGCTTGTTCCTCATCTAAATTATTCCTAATAATAATGGCAAACTATGTTTTAAGCCACAGCATGAAGCCTTCTTAAAGTAAAATATTTATTTCATTTGCATCCAAAATAAATCTGCCTTAATACATCATGTTCTTAAAAATCACACATATAAAACCCCACTACCATCAAGTTGATTCCAACTCAGAATGGCCCCATAGGACTGAATAAATCTGTTCCCTGGGGTTTCCAAGGCTATAACTCTTTACAGAAGTTAACTGGCATACCTTTCACCCTTGACTTCTGGGTTTGAACTACTGACCTTATGATTAGCAGCCCAATACCTAACCCAACACACTCTAAAGAGAAAAAGAAAAATCCCCACAAAACCACTGCCATCAAGTTGATTCCAAGTCTTAGTGACCATATAGGATTCTGAGACAATAAATCTTTATGGGATCAGGGAGCAGACAGCTTCATCTTTCTCCTACGGAGCAGCTGGTGGATTTGAAGCACTGATCTTGTAATTGGTAGCTCAATGCCTACCCTACGGTACC